AAGCCGCTCCAAGCCAAGTGACGGGTGGGCTGGGTGCAGGTAGGGAGCTCATGCTCCAGATGCTTCCAGCTGAAGGGATTTCTGGGCCACTGTGGGTTAAAATTTCCTATTTGCCTTTCTGCTTCCTTTCTTTCTTTGGGCCTTTCTATTTGGGCTAATTTGCCTTGAGGCATGAGACACAGCACCTTCCCCATTGGAAGTGAGGGCCATGTCATCATGACACCCCCCACACACACCAGTTTTTATGGCTATGACTCAACCTTCACCCAGCCCAGGGCTCTGCCAGCCCCAAGCTCTCGCCCTCCCTTGGCATTTGCCAATGTTCTGGCCCCACCAGCTGGTCTGCCCTTCTCTGTAAGCCAGCAGGCAGGACCTGGGGACAGCCTGCCCAGGGGACAGTGGGAGTGGAGGAGGTGGGACCTGCCAACACAGAGATGTGATCATCACTGCTAAGAGTAGCAGGAGAGCAACCCGGGCTGATGGGGCCCCAAGTGTGCAAGCTCAGCCTCTGCTTCTGCTCACCAGGCTGGTGGGGATGACTGTCACCCTCATGTCACCATGCATACTCAGGAGACAAGGAAACACACTCAGAGAGGTGAAGAGCCGACGGAAATCACACAGCCAGTGAGTGGGCAGGGTTTCCCCCAAGGACTAGGCTTCTGGAGCTGGGCTCTTAAGTCAGAAGTTTATCGAGCACATACTGTACACTGGATGCTGTTCTGGGTGCTGGGGACACCACAGTGAACAAGCTGAGTCCCTGCCCTCAGGGGGCAGACCTCCTATGGAGGAGAGGGATACTCAAGGAATCAGCAAGTGAACAGAAAATTCTCTCTCAGGAGCTTGAACCAGCCTATCTCTGTAGTGGCCCTCAGGCTGCTCACTGCTCTCTCCTCCCCATGCCTTGAAATGGCTCTTCCCCTTCTCCAGAAGCACCAGATGACAATTCTAGTCACACCCGAACACTGGGGCAGTGCAGCACATGCCTTCAATTCCTAGAAGCTCACAGGTGGGAAGCCACTTACGAGTCACCTATTCCACCCTTTTTCCTGATACATCCTCTCGGCCACACCCCTGGGAGTGGTATCCCCGTGACGGGAGGCTCACTACCACAAAATAAGAGCCATTCCGACGCTTAGAGAACATTAACAGAAAGGCCCTCCTTAAACCGAACCAATACGGGCCTCCTCATTTTTTCTGTCACTGTCCCTGGTTCTAGCCTCTGAAACAACCCCGTTTACCTGTTATTGTTCTTCAGCCTTCAAATACATGGTCACTCCTAAATCTTCTCTCCTTGAGACTAAATTTCTTCAGATTTTTTTCCACCATTCCTCACACACCATCTGGTCTCGCTGTGGCTTGTCAACGGTCCCGAATGTCTGCCACGCTAACACTGTCCAGTAATGCTTCACCAAGTGACCATCGAAGGACCCTGGGGGAGCAGGACAGGATGTCACCCTGACCTTAAATTCTTCCTAATCTCAGCCTGGGGATAAATGGCAAAGACCCGGGCAGGCAGCAGGAGTCACGCAGGTCGGGGGGCAAGGACCACCACAAATAAGTAGATGCCTTAAGTATTTTCAGTCAGTCATTCAACGGTCAATCATCTAGTGCCTGCTATATGCCGAACCAGTGCCAGACAGATGCTGTGGTGGTCCTTGTGGAGCTCATGGCTTTGTGGGGAAA